TAAAATGCTGACAACCATTACCTATAAATTTCTCTAAAATGCTGACAACCACTACCTATATATTTCTCTAAACCAATTGCAACGCGAGTCTTATAGATTGTTCTAGACACCACTTTTATATGAATGGTTCATAGGCCACATGACGTGTCATTTCTGAATAGTATTTGTTTGAGCGTGCACTGACATTATTTTTCTTGTCAATATTATTAATTTATTGCTATGGCAACAAAAGGTTGTGTAAATGACCCAAACATATTCTATGATATTTGTGGTAAATTTGTGGTAAAGAAACAAAGGCAAAACATTATAGAATCTGTCAAAAAAGCATATTACACATATTTTGGAATAAAACTTGGGAACCAAGACAAATCATGGTCTCCACACAAAGTTTGCACCCTTTGTGTCGAAGAGTTGAGACAATGGACTAAAGCTAAAAGTCTTTGCCTTTTGAAATTTTTGCTCACATAACATGCAAGGCTACAACAATTGAAATAAAAAGGAAATTTCTTATCCACACCTTCAATCTGCTATAAGACCCATTGCTCATGAACCTGATGTACCTGTACCTACTCTACTCAGACTCTTGATACAGTTTCTTTTGATTCTGAATCTAATGTCAATAGAAATGATGATAGAGATTGTTTTCAACCTGAAACATCAGGAAAGGTTCCATCAAGACCTCAGGGAAATGAAGAGGAGGTATCAGGGAAGGTGGAACATCAGGATGATGGCTGATTACTGTTGGTCATTGAAACGAGCTACTCCAGATGCAATACATAAAAGACCACAACATACAGTTTTGTGACTAAAGATGTAGATTTACACCCAAAAAATCTGGATAAATTAGGATCCATATTCGTTTGACATCAGTGTCCTTCTCTTTTTTTTTCAGTTTGTTTGTATTTTTGTTAACAAACATAATAAAAAATGTTCATTGTGGTAAACGAAATAATAACTTGATCTATGCAAGTTTTTCTTCCTGATTCGTAATAAATCTTTACGTGATAGAAAAAAATGAATATTATTTTCGAAATCTGCGTAGCTGAAATGTGGTAAATCCGTAATTAAAACCAAAACAACTTTTATGAAGTTTAAATTCGCAAGCTTGTGTAATACTAATATACTTTATACAGTACTACTACAAGCAAAAGATTCATACCCACTAAGCAAGATTTTATACTGTGGATAACTTGGTGACAAATACTCAAGAAGCCCCAATTTAAAATTTAACTTAATCATTCACTGCATGTTATTATTATCAGCGTTAATTGCAAAGTTTTACTATGTAAGTGTAACCAATGTTCAAAAGATAAGCAACTTCTAGTTCTACACGATATAGCCTAACTCCAAGTAATACACGCGCTATTATTTGTTTCATGTAGCAGTAGCAGACGCCCTTGCTAAATGCTATCTATAATTACAGCTTTTATTGACAAATATACAATATAATGTATAACTAAACACCATAAGAGATTAATAAATACTTAAATAAAAAATATACAATATTGATATCACTTTCCACTACTTTAACATATGAGATGAATACGATGAAATATCTAACTACTCACTCTCAACCACCTACGAACTTGCTTGGAGAAAAAGAACGCGTGCTTGCGAAAACACTAACGCGGTAACAATTACAATTAAAAATATAATAATAAATACGAAAATCATATTATATATATATAGTATGCTGAAGGTGAGTGATATACTACAGACACTGTAGACTAATACATTCTTAACATTTTAAAATTAATTATATCAAATTATATATTGTTTTCTATATCATGGCCATATAATTTGAGACAATATCAAACTGCATACAAAATCAACTTAAAGAAGGCCGCAGTACTTGTTTGTTTGAAGTTAAGCTCAAAGCTACACAATGGGCTATCTGTGCTCTGCCCACCACGGTATCGAAACCCGGTTTCTAGCGATATAAGTCCGTAGACATGTCGTTGTGCCACTGGGGGACAGACCGCAGTTTAGAAGCCGAAACGTCATCCCGTATTTATATAATTTGGTAGCAGTAGCCTTTTTTATTAGAAAAAAGATTATTTAGTATTGTTACGAATTTGCTTGTTTGATAATTTCCGGTAAAAATTCTTTCCGAGTGACTTAAGCGATACAAGTCCCTTCTTGATTAAAAC